AAAGAGGAAAGCAAACACCGAGAGGCTGAGTCCCGTTGCTATAGAAATTGAAACAGTAGAAAGGGATTTTCATCCAGCTAAATAACCAGCTCACTTTCATGTGAATGACGATGATACTTTAGAATAGCATTTGATATTTGCATGATTGATGGATAGTTTTGGGGTTTTATCAACCCCATGTTTGCTTTTGTCTCCAACTCCATATGGTTCAAGGACAGGGAGATGAGTAAAGTGAGCAGTGGTGGCTGTGCCCAGTGTGTGTTTGTTTCTGCAAACTCTGGCACACAGAATTTGTTCAATTTGCACAAGGGAGTTCTTCCAATTCTCAGGATCCTGATACCAGGATTAGGAAGACACAGGCCTAATCCCTGCAATATCACTCAGGTGACAGTGGTCGGAGCTGTGTCAGAGGAACAGCACAGAATGTATTTTTGCTTAAGGGAGATTCTGCAGTGGGTATTTGGAGTTATAGATCTCTCTTATTACCTCAGGCACACCCAGAGGTAGAGCACAGCTCTCAGCTTCCAGCCTGGCTACCACAGCACACAAGAGCAAGGTAGTACAATACACCAAAATTAGAACAATGCACAAAGGTGATGTTCCCTTAGGCCATACACCTGAAATGTCAACCAGTTATTATGACTTAATCACTGACACTTTCCCTCAAATCATATCCCACCTCCCACCTTTTCCTGTCACCTCCCACTCTTCCTTAAGACTCTGCCTCTCCGTAAGTATGCTTTTGGAAAAGGGTCCAATGCTCTGCAAGACTTGCTAATGCCATTCCTTAACTAGAGAGAGATTTGTCTCCAGTATATTAGAAAACCTTCCTTGCGGGGCACAGAGCATGCTATGTTCAACATAATCACAATTCTCTGGACAAGAAATCAGAGGTATAAGACTTGAGTTTCGCAGTACAGAAGATGCATGCACAAAGAGGAATGAAGGGAGGTTCAGGCAAGCTCAACCATTTATTACAACCAGCTAGTCACCCTCTGTATAGAGTGAAAAGTTACCTCCAGAGTATGGAATAGCTTTTCTCTACACTCCTTTATCTATAAAATGTTGCCATGTCCATGTAAGACAAACTGGTGCCCAAATTACTACTGTAATTAATGAAAAAACATGAGATATGCACAATATTAATAAAAAAAATCTTTTGAAATTGGTGTGGAATACACAGCAGCATTTGAGGTAATTTCTGAGAAACAGTGTGCAATTTCCACATTAAAAGGATGCTGAAACAGCACACTCCACCCAAGCTAAAGCAACACATGAAGTGAAGACATACCTTGCAGCAAGAAACAAGTGAATGTTTTAAGAATTAGGAAATACTTGCATGAGAAGGAGGTAAGTAGTTTAAGTAGTTTATCTTTCAAACAAAGCAGTAGCTTCCAGAGCTGGAAACTGAAACTAGACAAATCCAAACTAGAAATTAGGTATGCATTTTAGGAATGCATGTAATCAAGAGCTCAACCAACTTACCTGGGGCTTCATCAAAATCAGTGTCAAATTGTGTCCTCCCAACAGATGATGATTCTGTGTCTCAGAGGACAGTGGCTTGATAAATCTCACGCTGTGATTTCTAGTGCAGTTCCTTTTATACACAGTCTGACTTTGTGGTCATAGGGACTTTAAGCTTTTATCAGCTATAGTAAAAAATGTGAAAACATGTTTCATGTGATTTATAAGTGTTGACTGTACTGTGTTGTTTTGCTTTGGACAAACAGAGAAAACAGAAGTGTACATGACCTAAGTGAATTGTGCAGCACATGTGCTTAGATGTACAGAAGGTCCAGTGTTATCCCAAAAAGGCAATGGCCAAGGTCACTGCAGTGCAAGAACATGAGGCAGTTTGGGTTGAATCAGAATGTCTGGGATGCTTGCTAGAATTGTTCTTGGTTAATGGAGTGCACAGTTAGGATGCTGCAATGTATCATGACAGAAAAATTACTGATACAAGCTTAACAGAGCAATACAGTAGCTAACAAGAGTTATATTTAATGTATCAACCAATGTTGCTATGAAATGCTAAAAAATTAAGTTAGTAACATTCCATTTTGTTAAAGGGTTTGGCTCTTCTGAGCTTTTCCACAGGTGATATGCCTAAATCCTGTGCTGCCCTGCTCAAGGCTGCAATGAAATAAAGTAATAGTTTTCATTTCAAAATAAAGAAGATAACCTGATCTCTTGATCTGTTTAAATAAAACTGATTTGCTGAACTAATCTGACTTAGATCAGAAACGAACATAACGCAAATAAATAGTTTCTATTTAATCACAGTCTAATTTGCCTGTCGATGTGAGGTCTGCAAATCAAGAGAGAAAGTAGCCTGAAGCATTAATTTATTTTGTGTCAACAAAAGGAAGGCTCTCCACAAACTTGCTGCCAAATTTTTGTCTCTCCAAAATAAAAATGCACTCCTTGCTCACAGGAGAAACATCCTTCACTGAAGAAGGATGCATGGAATACTTTCCACAAATCTTGCTCTGCTTCTGTGTTTCTGAAAACAAGTCTTATGAAAAAAAGCCTGATGGGATCTCAGAGGTGAGTGCAGAAACACTGTTCAATCTCATATTTGTTACTCAAGAAACAGTCTATTCGGTTCAGCCAGTATCTCCTTGCTCTGATGTGTGTGAATGCAAACACAGCTGATCTGTCAGTTGTAACAACAACAGATAATATTTACTCTTAATTATTTGCTTTTGCAACCTCTTCAACTTCTTGCTGTGCAGCTTTCAAATAGCTTCCAAACTCCCCCTATGCTGCACCCCAGAAAAGGACAGTACAAAGCCAATGTACCAAGTTAGCTCTTCCACATATCTCTAGCAGGGACGCTGAAAAACTGCCCAAAAGGCTGAACTTGTCACAAAGCTTAGTTTAATTTGACAATCATCATAAGGCATCCGTGTAAATGAAAAATTCCCACCAGGGTCACAAATATTCTCCCACGAAATAAAACGTGGTAAAACAGAGGCCTGTGATTCCAAAAGATGCTAGTGGTTCCTGGTCTTGGCCTGGCTGCTGCTGCTGGCAGTGGGGTCCAGGAGGCACAGCACCAACAGCGGCAACTCCGGAAGGGTAAAGTCAGCTTGTACAAATCTCTTTCGACAGA